GTTGGATGTTACCCGTAAAGCAAATCAGAGCAACTCCCAATGCGGAGCACAGGCTCTGGACGCACAGGCTCAGCGGCCATGGCTCACGGGTGCAGCCACTCCGCGGCATGTGGGATCTTCCCGGACCGGGGCACGAACCTGCAACCCCTGCATCGGCAAGCGGACTCCTAACCACTGTGCCACCAGGGAAGCCCTAAGGTTCTACTTTTAAATAATCTTTCTGAGCTGAGGCCTCAAGATTTGGAAGATGACACAAAGATAAAATCAATAAATTCTAATTTTTGGTTTCAAAACCTTTTTTTTCCCATTATAGAATTCAATACTTTAATACCCTCTTTATAATACTACTTCAGTTTAAAATTCTCAGAATTACTTTGGCAGTGATGATTCCCAGTAATTGTAGAGTCAAATCATATTTATTTAATTTTCACATCCACCAACCAAATATTCCCAAGCTCATACTTCCCTTCAACTTCTTCCTTCAGGGGCTCCCCTGGTGTCGCAGTGGTTAAGAATCCGCCTGCCAATGTAGGGAACACGGGTTTGAGCCCTGGTCCAGGAAGATCCCACATGCCATGGAGCAACTAAGCCCGTGCACCACAGCTACTGAGCCTGTGCCCTAGAGCCCATGAGCCACTACTGAGCCCATGTGCCACAACTACTGAAGCCCACGTGCCTAGAGCCCGTGGTCCTCAACAAGAGAAGCCACCACAATGAGAAGCCCGCGCACCGCAAGGAAGGGTAGCCCCCGCTTGCCGGAACCAGAGAAAAGCCCGCATGCAGCAAAAACCCAACGCAGTCAAAAATAAAATAAATAAAATAAATTTATATATAAAAAAAAGATATGGCCCATTTAATAAAAGGTATGCAAAGTTAAATAATAATGAGATGCCTTTTTTTTTTTAATTTCTTCATTCAGTGAGTATTTACTGAACATTTACTCTGCTAGGTACTGGGCTGGAACCCAGGAGACTCATGAGGGAATATAATAGAGCCCATGCCCATTGCACTTAGTACATTTGGGGAATGAAACTGAATGAAATGCCAGCTAATTTCTCAGTGCCTCTTTGAGATAGTTATACTCTAGGGATGTCAAAAGAAATAAACACTAAAAAAAGAGTGGATATATGTATAACTGATTCACTTTGCTGTACACCTGAAACTAACACATTGTACATCAACTATACGCCAATAAAAATTTAAAAATAAATAAATAATAAGGTCTGGATTTATGATCTCATGTGACAAATACCTTAAATTTGAATACGTTACACATTTGAAGTATACACTCTTGAATTATTCCACTACATTTACCTACATATGAATTTATCCGATGTCCAAAGGTCTGAAATCTATTTTTATTCTCAATGCTCTTCCTTCATATGAGCACACTGAAAAGCACGGTAAAATTTTAGAGTTTAAACTTTCTCATCTCTTTGGGAAAGAGGAAAAACACATAGAGTAGTGAGATTATCTCAATCCCTTTTTTTCTTTCAGTACAAAAATTATGACAAAAACATTGCAGTATAAGACTATATTTACCCAAGCTGAAGATAACCAATTCTGATGTTCAAAGGATGCTAATACATTTCCTCTCCTCTATAAAATGTGGTTTCTGAGAAAAGGCTTTGTGCCTAATGAAATGTTACTACATAAAGCATATAGACTACCAGTTTAGAGAAACGTAACTGAAGAATCACAGGTACATGCCCTCATGCAACTTATCAATAGTGGTTTACTAAGTTCAATTAAAAAATGCTACCATGAGTCTGTTTTATCTTAAGAGAAAAATGTGAGTGGAAAATGAACAAGAGGATCAAGGAATTGGGTTTTAGGTTTTCACCGAAATCCTGACCTACTAGGCCATTTTAGTTTTTAAATGACAGTAATTAAAAAAAAAAAAAAAATCACACTAATAGTTATTTGTCTCATAGTTTTTATCTAGGTACCCCTTTAATAAAAGTTTAAATTACTAGTATGATTTTCATACTACTTTACCTGAAAACACAATTGGATTTACTTATAGATTCTATACTCCCCCATCATAATTTATGGGGGAGTAAACTCTAAAGAAACTTTAGCTCATAGCATCAACTGCTTCCTTCACATGGTTTTGAGCTTCTTGGCCGCTATATGAGTAACTGAAGGAATGAACTGTTTAATAATTCTGTCTGCTAAAAGGAAATCAGAGTCAACCACATTTCCACACCTTCCACTGTTCAAGTCCTCGGTGATCAAGAATTGCTACTACTAACAAACAAAACTGGTATGGCAGTAGAAAATAAACATGTAGCACAGGGAGTGACGAATATTACATTTCTTCCAAACAACGATGACAACGGAAAACTATAGAAAGAGGATGAGAGAAACATAAACCTTTCAGGCAAGACAACCAAAATAACATCGTGCCACATAATACAATCTTGGGACCCACTGAGTTTTATTTAAACGTATCACCCTCCTTGGGAATCTAAATCAAGGACTTGGGATCCTAATTTGAAAATGAAACAGAACACAGAGGAAACTGTTTCCTCAAAGTAGTAATGGGCTTACAGATGCCTTTTAGGAACTTATACCTAATTAAGTCTATTCATTCTTTCTGTGAACTTTAAGCACCCCCAAATTTTATACGTCTCTAAATAAGATGGAGAAAAGGGGGAAAACCACATTTAGCTGCGTAATTCAAATAAAAGTTTTTCCTTCTTCCCAAGTTACATAATTAGAGAAGCCATGAAGCAAACCTTATCTTACCTAAAAACCAGAGATTCATGATTAGGTAACATTTAAACCTTTGACCAATTGCCTTTCCTTGATAACCAACGGAATCCTTCCCCTCGTCCGTGTTTACTTATTTATTTTTGGCCGCGTTGGGTCTTCGTTGCCGCACGCGGGCTTTCTCTAGGTGCGGCGAGCGGGGGCTACTCTTCGTTGTGGTGCACGGGCTTCTCATTGCGGTGGCTTCTCTTGTTGCAGAGCACGGGCTCTAGGCGCGTGGGCTTCAGTAGTTGTGGCTCATGGGCTTAGCTGCTCTGCGGCATGTGAGATCTTCCCGAACCAGGGCTCAAACCCGTGTCCCCTGCATTGGCAAGCGGATTCTTAACCACAGCGTCACCAGGGAAGTCCCTCCATTGGTCCTTGACCATCCTTCCACAGTCAAGCAAGGAACTCAAAGTCAGTTGTCTATCACCATGACATCAACTGAAAACTAAAAACCAAACTATCTGTGCATATCCTGCAATAGGCATACCAGCACTATATGTACAGACACTACCAGCATTATGTATACAGACACGCTTCTCAACTAAATCTGATAACACATCTTAAAATTAATGCATTCCCTTGATCTCAAAAGGCCAGACTGGATAAAAGTTAGGCCACTGCTTTGTTTACTCTTTAAAACATTAAAATCTGTGCTGACAGTGAGTGGCACACAAAACTAAGACGTTGTGCTGATTAACACAATACTTGCATTTCCCTGTTCATTAGCCATTGGTACATCTATAGTCTTAGATAGAAATTATAATGAGGAATAATGAGAGCAATTTCCTGAGTTACTCCACCTTTAAATTACATTTCATTGAGACTTATCCTCTGAAATTACTGGTTGTCCTATCCTGTTTACGTGAGAACTTAAGAAACCTCTCATAATTCTGACATCTTTACACATGAAAAAAAATTGTATACATGTAAGAAAGGTTCCTACAGATGTCACTTTATCACTTAAAAATCACTTTGGCCAAAAAGACGTAAAAGTAAAATTACACATTTTATTCATTCATTCCATCAGCTGAGAATTGCTCAATTGTACAAATACGATATTGTACAAAAAAATCACAAAATGTTACAAAATAAAAAAGTACAAACTGCATTACTTAATAAATACGACTAAAAGTAGTTAAAGTGGAAATGAGATAGGTTTTAGGTTGGAAACGTTTGACCCAGCAAACCATACAAGCTCTTGTATACAGACATTTTTATTTGTACATAATACAGGGCAATCCTATTTTGCCTTGTGAAAGAATTTAAAAGGAAAAGACTATGAAGACAGTATTCTTCTGCTGGAAAATAACTGCCAAGGTTGGTTGGGGGCATTTATGCCATTAGTTTTTCAATCTCTCGGGTGAATCCAAGAGGCTATATATAAAGCAGGAGGCTTATCTCATCACAAAGTCTTCTATCACGTTAAAATTATTTTTTCAACAAAATGACAAATATAAATAAAAACAATTGAGAGCACCAGACAATCTACTCTAAACCTCAACCAGAGTACAGAATAATCACTCTGCCATCAGCAAATATTAGACTTTCATTCAAGTAAGAGCTGGTACTATTCTTTAAAGAAAAAAAAAATTCTTCCCATAACCTCCCCTTAAGTATTTTCTCTTTAAAATGTTGACCATTTCTAGAAAAATAATGATTTTCCAAACAACAAATCTGTTTCATCAAAATGGAATGGGCCAATCATCTGGTAATATGAATGCACCAATATCCATTTTAAATAATTACTTAGGAACTTTAAAATTCAAATTCAACAACAAAAAATACTAAATCACAAACTCTGTTCAAAATAATAAACTTCATATAAAGCACTTCTCTGGATTTATGCCGGAAAGCTGTGTGTCAAAATGTAACACATCATAGATGAAGATACACCAATTGTTAAAAATGTTGTGCAAAAATACATTCTTATAGAAAATAGATTACCAGGAATGAACAAAATTTACACTGTGAGAAACCAGCTTGCAAATTAAGTAGTGCCAGCTTTATACAGCAAATGATAAATAGCAGTAGGATCACCCAAAGCTACCATGAAACATCACTTAGGTGCCCAGCAACCTTCAGCTCTGAGAAGAAAACATTCAAAAAAATGATTAAGGCATTACACCTACAGTAAATCTACTTGAAAGTTTAAAAGTGCTATTACCCTGATTAGAGTTCATGTAATTCTCCAAACACAAATTAGGTCTGCAATTTTCCCAGGGTGGAGGGGTTCAGACACTTCAAGAGCATGCGTTTTGTTCAATATACATTTTGGATAGGGATATGGCCATGGACTTGGCGAGTTCTTCGTCGCGTTTTCTTTGCACTTGAGTCTGCCTGCACCAAGTGTCATACTCCGGATTCGGATAGGAGTGATCAAACACCGCGTCGTAATGTCCGTTACTGAGCCAACTGAGCCAAATGCTAGGCCTTAGGGAATCCTCTGGGCCCAAGTAGTGAATCATGGTAGACACCGTGGGGCTCTCCAGCCTCCCACCAGTAGTTAGATGTATATTCACGTTCAGCATCTGCCCCATGGCCAGAAGTTCAGGGTACCCGGCCCACGCCCCGTCCTGAGCAGCGGCGATGATAAACTCCCCCACGTCGCCCTCAATCAGGGGGCTAAAGTGGTCGAGGTGGTCGGCGATGTAGTGCACCGTCTGCTCCCGCAGCTCCCGGTGCAGGCTCTGGTCCCCGTACACCGCCTTGCTGACGGCTCGGTAGAGGCAGTTGCCGTCGGGAATGATGTGAAATCGGTACTTGTTCCTCTGCCGCAGGTACTTGTCCTGCCTCTCCACCTCGGCCAGGTACAGGGCCAGCTTCTCGTCCTTGGGATCCGACCTGGAGACGATCGCCGCCTCGGCCGCGCCACCCGGGACCGCCTCGCCGCTCCTCGCCGGAGATGCCTCGGCCTCCGGGTCGGGCCGCCGCGCCTCGTCGGCGCTGGGAGGAGGGTGGCCGCGGTCGCCGGCCCTGTCCCAGCCCCGGAGGCTCCTCTCCGCAGGGCGCTCCTCGGCCCACGGGCCGGGGCCGGCTTCCGGGCTCTCCGGGGGCGGCGCAGGGCCGCGGTGCTTGGCGGCGGCCAGGGCCTGGCGGTGCTCGCTCAGTCGGAAGTTTCTTTCGGGCCCCTCGCGGGCCGCGTCCACGCCGGAGGGCTCGGGGCCGTCGGGCCTCAGAAGCTCCTCCAGGAGCCAGGCCGAGGAGCCCCGCCGCGGCGGGACCGGGGCGGCGGACTCCTGTGGCAGGACAGGTGGGTGGGGGCAGAAGGGGACGGGGGTCCAGGCTCCACAGGTGGGGAAGGAAAGCTCCTCCCTGGGCTGCCCTGTTTTTTAAAAGCTGAGTATTTGTGAAGGATCCCCCCTCCCCACCTGTCTCCTCTCTCTCAGATTTTATTATGTTTGGGGATAAAGGAGTTTCCATTGCACAAGCAATACCATCACAAGAGAGCAGTCGTTTGTAGGATGGTCTCCGTGGTCCAGGCCTGGTTTTGAGCTGTTTGCATGTGATCACTCATTTCATATGAAGCCATTGTCTTGAAGGACGCCTTTGCAGAGGTGTTGGGATGGGTAACAACCAGCCGTTTCACTGGGGCTTCTCTCGCCAGCTTGATTACTTTCGTTTGGTGACCTCTGTATTTTTACCAGTATGAACTATGCATTTGCAGGAGATGTGTGGTATTTAAAATGTTTTGTGCAGCTGCTCCGGCCCGCGGCGGCCGCTGGGGACTCTCGGAGGAAGCCGCCCGCCCTACTGGAGCGCGTCCCACCGGCTAGGAGCAGCGCGCGGCTAGCTGAGGGGCCAGGAGGCGGGGCCGCGGTTGTTTACCTCAGGCCGCGCGGCCGCGTCACGTGCCCCCGCTGGAATGCGCGGCTCGTCGCGTCGCCCCATTCAACCGCCGGGGTTCGTCCTGCCCCTCCGGCTCGCCCCGCCCTGTTCGGGGACGTCATGGGCGTGGCCAGCGGCGCGGGCGCGCGGGCGGGCGAACGAGGAGGCTCGGAGCTCTCTGCACGGTCAAGGGGTTTTTTGCCGCTACCCCACCCCAGCCGCAGTTTTAGACGCCGCGCTTTTCTGGGCTGCTGCAGCGGTCGTGGCGGGATGGGCACTTCTTGGGGCGGGCTAGAATGCTGAAAGGGCGCGTTTCGGAAGAAGCTTCCGGGTTCGGTATGGAGAACGGAGAGCTGCTCTGAAACCTGCACGGCCTCTGCCTGGTCATAGCACCACTGCCGTCGTTTTCATTCAGTCCCTTGGGTTGTATTGTTAACGTAGCGTGACGCCTCCCTTTTTCCCCAGCATCTTGCTGCCCTGCTAAACCGAAACCAACTTTTCTGCAGCCCTAACCCGTGACGACGAGCAAATACAAGACGGGCGAAATACCAAATGCCTAACCGAGCCTTTTGAAACTAGGGGCAGCTGCTAACCATGGGTCAGAGGCAAAGTGAAGAGGGTCGTGATGCATCGCGAATGTGTTGAAATTAAATAGAATTTTGAACATAGTTCTACCGAATTGTGTTAGTTGCCCCTGTTTGTAAAGGAAAGCCGTAATACGCACATGATCAACCGTGTACTGACTGTATAGTAGTAGGCAGCTCTTGCTATATTCTGAGATTTGATCACATGCTAAACTAACAGGTCCTAAACGTTCAAAGGGAACCTAGGAAGCTGTCCCACCGTTTTACTGATGAGGAAATAGCTTACGTTGTGGCATACGCCTCCCCCGACCCTTCCGCTGAAACGTAAATTCCATGAATGGAAGACTTAGTCTTGGAAACCAAAGGTTTGTTAGAGTTACGAACCCTAGCACAGAGCCTGGCACGTAGTTGGAACTAATTAATATTTACTGAATGAATGAATTAATGGAAGAGGAGTTCCCAAGACACTGGAGAAGCCAGAATTACGATCCCGGTCTCCTGACCTCAGCCAGGGCTTTTAATTTGCTGTGGTGGGTGTGACTGCAGGATCCCAGCAGCGTTTGCTCGGGTCACATGAACCTGTTAGGCAAATCAACTCAGAAGGAAAAACAACCACTTAAAAGTCTAACAGTCTTTTCAGCTTCTGGTGACACCCCATTGGGAGCTTGTAGACCCCACTGGATAACTAGAAAAGGGAAATTACTTAGATTTCATCACTGCTTTGAGGGTTATCTGTTGCTCTGTGTATTCAGCAGTTCACCCGGAGCTCTACCTGTAGCCTTTCAGTAGCTGGGGTTCTGAAACAGAAGACAAAACAATTAACAATAAAATAACCCCTAAATCGTATTTACTGAGTAGCCATCGTGTGCCTAGCCGAGCTAGCAAACAGGAGTATGGAGGGAGATAAGGAAACTATTAAAAAAATGCAAATCCTAAAGCAAGAATGTGTTTTGAACAGACTGGAGTAAACACAGGGGGGAAAAAAGAAAACAAGACTAGATACACAGAAGACAGGCTAGGTCTGATGTACCAAATTAGGAATGTCAAAAAAAATTCAGTTGAGTAAATTTGATGTTCTGATTGGCTTTATTAAGAGATTTGGGCTTAATTCCATCAGGCAACATCCCATCCAGCAGCTAGAAGGGTGCTTCCACCTGTTGTAGAAAATGGAAATTTTTTTTTTTTATAGGAAGAAGGGTGGGGTAAGGGCGTTATTAGCAAAAAAGAAGAAAATTATTTTTAGGTCAGGACTTTGGTGTGGGGTGGCGGCCTGTGAGTGTTTTATCATGCAGACTGCTTCTTCCTCTGGGGAATGGAGGCCTACGTGACAGGTGAGCTCAATGGTGCCGATCAGAATAATTCCAAACCGGTTAAGATTACATTTTAAAAAAAAATTTTCTTAGCTATTTCCTTTATTTTTTAATTTATTTATTTTGGAGTATAGTTAAGTTACAATGTTGTGTTAGTTTCAGGTGTACAGCAAAGGGATTCAGATATATAGATATAGATATATATATAGAGAGAGATAGATAGATATACTTTTTCAGATTTTTTTCCCATATATGATTAAGATTACATTTCAGCAGAAGGTTGAAACTGCAATTAAGTCTTGGTTTGTTGTTGTGGGACCCTTTTCGGGCCTATTCTTTCTTTCTTTCTTTTTTAAAACAGGAACAAATATCAACAAAGATGTGAAGATTCAAAACTTTAATATACGTGAAGACTCTTTTTTAAATTTTTCCATTTAGTCTGTGTGGGGATGGTAGACTATACCTCAGTGCATATTCACTGTGAGAGTGAGTGTCCACTCTGTATCTTGGTCTGGAAAATCTTCCTAGAGGAGATGGTACTTCAAGAGACTCAAAGCAGGAA